GGGTCATCTGCAGTCGATCTTGGGTCATCCGTAGTCACCATCACTCATCGATGTTGTCGCACGTTAGATCTTGGGGAGACGACTTGATGCCTTGGTCTAGAGTGGGATTTCTGTCGCCTGGCCCGTCTCTATATCGCGACCTGGCAGCCGATGTTGCTTTTCTCGCGGGATTTCGATCGCACTTTACCACAATTGTACGAATCCGGTATGGCCAGTCCAACCTTCAAGGTGAGTTTGTGTGGGCTGGGAGAGGCAAAAACGGGGTGACTAAAGTGTTCTGCTAGATCCTGGGCATCTGCCGGCAAGGTTTGTCAATTTTTCAGACCAAAATGTGTGGATTGATAATAGGCCTGCTGGTGCCCGTATTGTTGAGTACGGACCGTTTCCAGGGCAAGCTGGATTCATTCGTCCTGGGAAGGCGCGATATGAAGAATGGCAACAAAATTAATTCATGAACACACGGTGTCGCGCCAGGCGAGGACGCGTGTCGAACAATTAGAGCAGATTCTCAGAGAAAGGGAGCCTCTGTGCACCCAGACTCAGAGATATCAGTCTCCTACTAAACCCTTAATGCGTCCACAGCCCTTAGCGGCTGAGGTGAGGATGGTGAAGTTGCAGGAAAGGCTGAACCTTTAGATATGGCACTCAAGATCACCGGAAATTCAGCGGTCGTTATGAAGACAGTCACGAGAGACTCCGAGGGATCTGAGATGAACCGACAGAGGAGACCCATTCATAGCTGAGTCTAGATATTATGGTCCTGGATCCAGAGTATGTCGCTGATGCCGAGGATAGTGTTCCAACCGAAGAAAAGTCAGTGGATGCCCAGTCACAGACGAGCTGTTTGACACCAGTCCAAAGGCTGGAAGCAGATTATGCTCGGGTGATGCGAGTCTCGGCCGAAGAACTGGACCTGCCGTATTTCTTCGTGAAGGAAGTGATTTGATGGCACCGCTACGAGACCAACATATCATGCTCCCGGAAATTGAGGAACTGACCCCAGAATGTAACATCGAGGTAGCAAATTTCGGGATTCCTGGGGTCACGACTCCAACGATGGAAGCCAAGATGAGAAGGATCCTGAAACGCCATCACAGCATCTTTCTGGGAGATGGTAATAGAGCTCCGGCCCCGACTAGTGGTGTAGTGTGTGACATCGATGTCGGTGAAGCGAAACCGGTAGCTTTGCGTGCAAGACATATTGCTGTGCCTTTCTTGGCGAAGGTGTTTCAACTCTTGAAGAAGTTGTTAGAGGCAGAACCCATTGGGCATTCAGAGTCCGAGTGGCCATCGCCCATTGTGATCGTGCTGAAGAAGAACGGCGTAGACATCAGGATGTACATTGACTACCGACTTCTGAATTTGCTCATCAAGCTATCCCGTTATCCTCTGCCTCTGATTGATGATATGTTGGTAGATGTTGAATCCGCGATGTGGTTCATGAGTGTCGACATGGCGTGTGGATTCTTGGCAGTGCGTATGGCTGAACGAGCGAAGTTGATCTCTGCGTTCGTTTGCCCGTTCGGCCACTTCCAATGGCTCCGAATGCCGTTCGGATTGAAGAATGCGCCTTTAATTTATCATAGCATCATCAACAACTGTCTGTGGGGATTCGTCCGTCTACTTCCTGTAGAAGAAGCGATGGTTGATCCAGAAGTTCTAGATTTTCTGAATCTTGAGCCTCAAGAAGCCCTGAAACCCGAAGTAGATATGGGAGATTCAGAGATTCCATTATTGGATATGACTGTATTCCGACGCAATTTTCCGGCTCCATCACAAATGGGTCCGGTCTTGAGGAAATGCTCATATACTGACGATATCGGTCATGAGGCGTCGACCTAGGACCAACTATGTGAGGACCTGGATGCGTTGTTATACAGACTGCTATATTGGAATATATCTGTAAGCTTACCAAAAAGTGAATTTGGAACGTTGATCATCCCATTCCTTTCTCATGAAGTGAGTGTAGACGGAATCAGAACATTGCCGAAGATTGTCAAAGGCACAGAGGACTTACCTTTCCCGTCAACGTATAAAGGAGTACTGTCTTTCCTAGGAAGTCTGAATTACTACAACAAGTTCATTGAAGACCTACCTGTAGTTGCCGCTGTCCTCTATAAGCTGGATAAAGAACGCGTACGTGCTGGACGGAACCTGGAAGCCGCCAAGGAGTCCTTCGAGATACTGAAGCGAAAGATCGTGTCGACCCGCTGCTGCGGCATCCAGATAGAGCCAAGTCTTTCATGATTATTACGCATACTAACCCGTGTGCGGTGTGTGCGGTTCTGGGTCAGGAACATGAGATACTCATACATTCAGTACGATTTACTGGCAAAGTGTTGATGGAGTCGGAGTTACGCTACCACATAGCCGAGAAGGAAGTGCTCGCAATCTTGTGGCCTCTGGAGGTTTCAGACCTCTGATCCATGGATCAGAATTCCCAGTTGTGGTGTATACGCGCTACTCTGTACTGAAGTGGTTACTAGAATTCAACACTGCAGATGGACGGCATCTGAAGTGGGGGCTGGAATTATCAAGATGGACACTGGAAATCCATCGGTCTCACAAAGATGAGGACGGCCTTGCGACCATCTTTGGGTACGGTATCACTCCATGGGAACATTTAGATAAAGTTGCAGAAACCCTGATTCCGGACAAGGGGCGTCTGAACGTGATACCACCAGTGAGTCTGGAAATGTTGGACGAGGACTATCAAGGCTACGCTCTGAGTTTCGATGGTGCTGCAAAGGTTTCTACGCGCCGAGGAAGCTGTGGGTGTATATTGTGGAAACTGCTAGGGTGGCAGGTCGTGAAGACTGAAGGACATATCCTAGAAGGTGTGACGGTCAACGACGCTGAATATCATGATTTAATTCTGAGTTTAAAGCTCGCTATGAAGCTAGATGTTAAGGAACTTGCGGCAGTCGGTGAATTCCGATCGTCGTCCAACAAGCTCAGGGCCTGATTAATTGCAAACAGCCTACTTTGAAACGACACTAGTCCGCATATAAGGATCTCAGGAATAGTTTTTGCGTCTGTAAAGTTGATTCATCTGAAACGTGAATTTAACCAAGCAGCCGACTACCTGACCTCTAAGACCCTCGTGCTTGGAGAATCCTGGGGACTCGATTACACAGACGAGTTAGTGCATCTACGTCTCGTATCTAGAATCCCTGAAAAGATCCTGAAGCCTTCGGAAATCCCAGATACTCTTGCGACCGATGCGGTTCGTACAGACCAAGCCGAACTTGGAATTAGAAATCCCGATGCCGGAATACCTGAGTCGTTAGCCGCCGTGCTGAGGCACTGTTGGTGATTGCGGGAGCACGTGCGGAAGCGGACATAGGCTCCCGGACTCCTGTAGACCGGTCTGGATACCGGATGCACGTTAGAGAAGAAGAAGGCCCCACCAAGACGAGGATCCGTGGATTCAGCAAATGAAAAAAGTTCTAGAATGAGATGTGGCAGATCTTTCAAGGAAACAAGTGAAGAAGATTGCTAAGGTCTCCGATCAGTTTGTGTTGGATTCACGAGAATTCCTCTACAGATTGAATGCACCCACACCAGAGAGACCACGCAATAAACAGTCAGAATTTAGACTAGTGGTCCCAGAGTCTTTACGTGCTGACATGCTACATTACTCACATGAAGACTTTTAGGGTGGCCACCAAGGAATCAATCGGACGTTTGAGCGCTTACGCTCAGAGTTCTACTGGATCGGGATGTATGCCGACGTTCAGAAGTTCGCGAGGTAGTGTGTGGATTGTGCGTCAGCCAAGGGGCGACCACCGGTCCTTGGCCCGTCACCTGGAAATATCGAACCAAGGTATCCGTTTGAGGTGGTCTCTATGGATTTTGCCATTGAGCTACCTGAGTCCGAGCGTGGGAACACATACTTGTTGCAGTTCCAGGATCAATTCTCAGGATACGTCATGTGTAAGCCCATGCGGAATACCGATACCCAAGATGTTGCAGAAGCATACGAGGAGTATGTGTTCCGAAGGTTTGGGGCGATTTCTACGATCAACCATGACCAGCATCCCCGTTTCATGAGCAAGGTGTTCACAAGATTCAGAGACCTTCTGAAAAGTATGCAGCGTGCGACGTTAGGATACCGGCCTAAGGCCAATGGACAACAGGAACGCTCTGTCCAACCTGTGCTGCGAAGTGTCAGAGCGTACGTCGCTGAAGATGATCAGAGCGACTGGGATGAACATGCAGAACGTCTCATGTTCGCCTTGAATACCTCGTTTTACGCTGCAAGATTAGACACCCCGTTTTATCTGGTACATGGCTGGGATACCCAGGGAACCTTATCCGCAATGCTGGGCCAGAAACCATCCACAGTCCAAGAACGAACAGCCTTGGAATGACGTCGTAAGATGCAACGGGATGATAGCTATGCCCTTGCATGCGCTGAAGATTTGCAAACGAAAGCGAATCGTGCGAGATCTGCTGCCCATACTCGCAAGTGGAAAGAACTCTCTGATCGTGTAAAGGCAGGTTTTGAAGCTGGTGATTCTGTCTGGTTGTATATTCTCAAAGTCCGTACAGGATTGAGCCGCAAATTAGCTCACCTTTCCGAATTGACGAAATACATGACGATTTCAGGGTCAAGCTCAACATCCAGAGTATGGGCTACTGTGTGAACCCATGGATCCACGTTAGTCATCTCAAACCGAGAGCCCTGTTCCCTAAGCGACCGATCTCAGAAATACAGGTCTTAGAAGAGGATGGTTATGATACTGCCTTGTTATCCGAGGATAGTTGGGAACCGGCCTCTGCACAAGACGAATATGAAGTTGAAGAAATCCTGGATCTCAGGTGGATCAAACGTACAAGGACCTCCAAGCGTTCTCGGGAATATCTAATTAAGTGGTACGGATACATGGATCCGGAATGGATATCTTTGGCCCAACTTAATTGTGGGGGGTTGTTATATGAGTTCGATCAAGGTGCTAAAGAAAGATCCCGTTTCCAGACCATGCAAGCTGTAGATGATCACCCTGGGAACTAGTTTCGAGGATGGTCAAGCCAATGAAATTGTATGTATGTATGATACTGTTATTCAAAACCAGTGTGTTTGTCTTGGTGAGGAAACTAAAAGAGGATAACTCAAAGAAAACCCCTCTGGGTCTGCGAAGAGAGTGGAGATAATCTCTGAATCCAGCGATGATATTAGGAGATAATCAACGAAGTCACGTATGAAGAGAAATAGTGTCACGGCAGGGATTACCCCTGCGTGGTGAAGACGTCGAGACGCGGGAGTGAGAAGTGGAGAACTTTGGGTATTAATGAACTTATATCACGAGACCTACAGCGATGAAGGAACGCCGCGAGGCGAATCCGTTGAACATAATATTGATCTTGGGTTGATTGCCCATGAGAACATCCACCAGGGCGTTCACGTACAAGATGCGCGCATTAGCGCGCCTATCAGCCGCTTGACGGGCTGCCTAGAGGCCAGAAGTTGGGCCTGGAGCCGGGCTATATGGTCCGTCAGATCACGCACGCGCCCTAGGTGGTTGAACTCTGCATCTTGGAGGCCTTGTCGCAGAAAATCGTCTCACTCAGCGCGTTCCTGCTTGAGTGTCCGCACACGTTGTCTCCAGTGTCGACACATGGCGGTCCACTTGAGACGCATCGTGTCGAAGTTGTCACGGGTTACCAGGGTCCGGGACGATAACGAACCGCAACCCACGGCTTCCCAAGCAGCTCGGAGATGACGGACCTTGGACAGGAGCCTGCGGATGAAAAACAATGAGTTTATCATTCTCTCCGCCAGGCGAGCCAATGGGAATTGGCTCAACAACGCAGCCAACTCGCACTGACCAGCGATGGAGTCCACTTCGGCGGCATGAGAGACTGGCACTATGACGCAACGTCGGCACACAGTTGGCGACGTCTCCACCTATGGGCATATGCAGGTCTTGGTAATCTGCAGCGTCGAGACCCTCGAAGCATAAGAGCACCTCCAAGCCATCATATCCAGGATACACCTTCGCGCAACCCATGCATAGTGAAGATTGACGCGGGCACGCCGACGAGGTGAACGTCGGGACCTCCGTAAACAGGCGGCGCGTCCCAAATAACGGGAGCCAGAGCAACACCAGTGTCTGCCAACGTCGCGACACCGGAGATGACGCCAGGTAGCGACATCTCTTCAATTTCCGCGGCATTCAAGAAGTTGCCATGAGAAAGCAAGTCGGGATTCGTGTCCGTTGGTGCCACAGCTGGTGGACCTTCAGCGCCCAGGCCTTCCGCGCCAGCGTCGGCGGAAGGCGTGTTTCCGGGCGCAGGATCAGACAGGGACAACCACAGCCTCAGGCGTCGGTAGATCGGACTAGGAAGAAGAGCGTCTTGAGCCATGTTGGAGAGGAGAGCGAGGCGACTTGTGTCGTACGGAGAAAATCTTGAAGTGTCGACGTTCTATGAAGAATGTTCGAACCGTTGATGGACTGATGGGTGTCGACCGTTACCGGTATATTGGCGCTCAGGACCTGGATTCAAGAATGAATTGATGAATGGACTTGGAAATGAATTGGAAACCGTATTCAGGAGAGCCTGAAAAGGTCTCAGAGAAGAAGGAAACATGAGTGGAAGAGATGACTTGGATTCAGAGTGCGAATGGAGGTATGAGTTCGGGATCCCAGACATGACTCGCCAGCTTGAATGAAAATTCTGCAATGACCAGTCATGCCTATGAGGGGCGGTTGACACGAAGTGATTTGTCGTTTTTCATGGAAGCAAGGATTTATATGGATATCCAGGAATTAGGTAATGGATACAGGACTGTCAGCGTGAATGTGTGAAATGAACAGTGACTGTAGATGTGAGAAGAATGGTTGACATGGAGGAGAGTGAAGGATGGGCCTTAGAGTCTGGAAGCACTGTGATGCTCGGTCCAGACTCGCCCTCGTCCTGACTACGGGTAATAATGATTGTGGAAAGTGTTGGCACAAACGTATTGCACTAGGCACCCCGTATTGCGTTATTTCGATCCATAAAACGTCATCCCCAAGCTCGAGAACATCACCTCAAATGACTATTTACGTACGAGACTCACGATCCAAAAGGGGATGGACAGCGACTGGAGTTGTGATATGTTCTACAAGCCGTGTAGAATGTTATACCTCAGAGCCCGACAAAGTATCCCAGAATTCCGTGATTAATCCCTGAATCCTAGCTTATAACCTCTGAATCCCGAAGGAAATCTTTGGGTCCGGATGCCAAAGTGTTTGGAACCAAGGATAATTAGGTTTATATGAAGGTATTGCACTATGGATACAGTGATTCTATGCCGAAATGCTACGGGATTCAGAGATTTAAGTGTATTCCGATGGATTTTATATCATAATATGCTATGGAGTCACGGCCGGAGTCAGAGACCTGACTCGAGGTGTAACGCGATCAAGTGGGGACAAGTCAGTGTGAAGTGAGGTGGTGTGCCTCATATCGGATGATGCTACTTGGATACATAGCGGAACCAAGTGAGTTTAAAATTCAAAAATGATGAGTGTACTGAGGTACACTGGAACCAAGATATATTGCCCCGGATCCAAAACGATAAAGTGAAACATGGAACATACGATACCAAGAGAAATATTTAGCAGTATAAGAGAAGATAATCAGAACGCGTTTTACTCGGGAGGTGACAAGTCGAGTGGTGACGCCTGTGGTGAAGAAGCCGTCAAGCCGCAGAGCCAAGGACCAGGGGGGCGGACGCTGGATTCGGGTGCATTATTATGTACCTGGACGCGCCGGTGGCAAGGATTAGGAGAAGTCTGTCGTGAAAGGAACAGTCAAGGCGCCAGATCAAGTACCAATGCCTCTGAATCCGGATTCGCTAGATAAAATTCTATCTCAGCAAAGGCCCGATTGCGGGGTCGGCATCAATCAGTGGGCCGACTCGGAAATCACGATTGACGAGTCGGTATCAACTAGTGGACTGACTCTGAGATCACGGTGGAGGTGGAGGTATCAAGCAGTGGACCGATTCTGATATCAAGACCATGGGATTCGTATCATGCAGTGGGCAATTCTGAGATTAGGCTAGATTGTGGGGTATGTATCAAGCAGTGGACGACTCTGAGATCTAGCTAGGTTAAAGGGTTAGTATCAAGCAGTGGACAACTCTAAGGCGGAACACGAGAGCTTTTACCTTGTGAAGCACAACCTGACTCTGAGATCACGGTGGAGGTGGAGGTATCAAGCAGTGGACCGATTCTGATATCAAGACCATGGGATTCGTATCATGCAGTGGGCAATTCTGAGATTAGGCTAGATTGTGGGGTATGTATCAAGCAGTGGACGACTCTGAGATCTAGCTAGGTTAAAGGGTTAGTATCAAGCAGTGGACAACTCTAAGGCGGAACACGAGAGCTTTTACCTTGTGAAGCACAACTGGTTTCGTAAGGCGCGCAGGACAGGTGCCAAGTGTGCCGCGTGAGGATCTCCAGCTGTATTAAGTCCAAGTTGCGCTGGGGATCAGACACGACGGTGTTCTGAGGAGATCCACGGCATTCCATATCTCAATTGTGCATGCGGTAAGTGAACGGTAAGGGTAGGTACCCATTTCATGTTAACGATTGCTCTCTCAGGGATCGTAGTCCCCCTATAGTTTGTATTAGACTGCGGAATCAAAGTTTGCCCGTATTAAGGTTGTATTTCCCTCATTACTGAGGGTGGTACGCGTGATTGAGGAAGCGGTTCAGACTGACCAGTGTCTGAGCCGTAGTTCCGAGTAGGACTGGTGACAGACCCTCCACTCAAGGATCTACAAGAATAAATAGTGGCGGCATATGTGCATATTCAAAGATCTATGTATTGTGTTTGGTTGTCTTCTTAAGAGAGGTGTGTTCTGGGCTTTGGCTTCAGTCATAGTGGTGAACTCAGAGAGTGAGTCACACGCTAAGCACACAGGCTTCCTACAAACTATCTACGGACGGTCGAGACCAAAAGATCCCGAATATTGGGTTCAACACACAGGGATTATACACAAAGGTCACACGGCAAACTCAGAGTTCCCAAAAATTCTCGGACTTCTGACCCTCTGTGAATCCGAGTCTCCTAAAATCTCGGGACCAGAGCGAGCATTGTACACCAAGGGGTGAAAGTTTCATCGGCTTCACCACATCAACCTGTAGTCGACACAGAGTCTAATGACGACGACGTTCTTCTTCACGATGCCGACAATGAGGGAAGTCTAAGGTGACTGCAACGCGCAGATCATACGCACGCCGAGGAGTCCTCGGATCAGATCAGCTAGTTTCTCGCGAAACTGAGACAAGATCTTCCGGACGCATTGTGCGACGGGTCTCGCGTTTCCCACGTCGATGTCCTAGGGCTCATTAGTTAGCTTACACGTGTGCGC